ATTGTTCTGCATGAAACGTTCAACTGACTGTATTGCACAATCTAGCACCCGGTTAAAGAATTCAACTTTGAATTGTTGTTTGGGGTCTCTTATGGGATTATCCTGTGCCTTGTAATCAAAATGTCTTCTTCTTCGGTGACTCTTGTATTCTTGAATGGGTGGGAAAATAGCTTCAGTGTGAAGTTCCTCTGCCAACTTCTGTGCACTCTTCAGAACGTTTTGAAATCCCTCATCTGACCGGTAAGACTGTAGGTATGACTTTGCTTTATCCAGTTGTTCCATTGCTCCAGATATATCAAGGTCAACAGCTTGGAGTCTCTTTGCTTACAACATTTATTTCAAAAACAGTATGTCATGCCACAACACTAAGCCACACAGAAATTTGAAGTTATGTATGTTTCTGGTGATTCCATTTCCCTCTGCCACTGTTCTCCCACGAACAGTTCCTGTCATAGCATTATCCTCCATAATGGCAACTATGGCATCTTCTATCTTCCCAATTTGGTGTTTGATAGGCTTTATCGCCTCCACTTGACTTTCCCATTGTGTGGCACTCAGCGGTTTCAGTGTCAGAGAGGATGTTCCCAGATGTTGCTTCAAAATTTGCCATCGATGAGTTGATGCAGAGAAAAATGCTTTGAATTACATTAAAAAATTCAGCAGCCTCACTTGAAGCTGATGCTGCATCACTGACCACCAAGTTCAATGAATGAGAACTGCATGGGACAAAAAAAGCTCGAGGGTTTAACTCTCGGATCCATGTCTGCACTCCTCTGTTCTTTCCTCTCCTGGTGGCACCATTATCATAGCCCTGACCTCTCATGTCAGCTATCGCAATTCCTGTATCTTCCAGCTTCTTAAGAAGCACATTTGTCATACCAGCTCCTGTAGTATCATCAATGTCAATACATTCTAGAAAATGCTCTCTGACAGTCACTACTGCAGGGACATTTTCACTAGATTCTGTTGTTGTTACAAAACGCACCATTAAAGTCATTTGTTCCGTATGGCTGATGTCAGGTGTGCAGTCCAGAACAACAGACTTGCTGACTTCAGATCTGCCACAATCTTCTGTTTTTTTGTTGCCAGTAACTGTATGATCTCATTTTGAATTGTTTTTCCAAGGTAGTGATGTGTGTACATTTCTTGGGTGGTGACTCTTCTTAGATGCTCCTGAAGTACAGCATCAAACTCAGCCATCAGCTCCACAATTTTAAGGAAGTTTCCATTGTTTGGCACATACAGCTGATCTGAAGTGCCACGCAGTGCTAGGTTATGGGTAGCAAGCATTCTCACAATGGCAATGAGCCTTTTCAGAACATTTTGCCAGTAGAGACGCTGATGCAATCTTCTCTTGATGCTGATCATTTATGGTGGCCTTTAACCTTAGTCTCATCTCAAGCTCTTTCCACCTATGGAATGCTCTCTGGTGATTTGCTGCCTTCTCATGGCATGCCAGATTTCTAGCCAGATTTTTCCAGTCCTTTTGTTCCTGTAGAACCCAATGTGGCTGAAACATTAGACTGGAAGAGTTTGCAACAAACAGTATGCAGCATTCTGGGTTTCTGAGTACGTAAGCCATGGCCTCTCCACTTTAGCACCATTGGGGATTTCACGCCAGTAGTGCGTTGGATGGAAACTTCTATTTTCATTGTCTTTGGGGAACATGAAGTTTTTCACTTGCTGTGGCCCATGCAGTACAAGGAAGTCCCTCAGGCTATTGCTCAAGTGGGTCCAGAGTCCTGGATCATCTAGATGTAAGGATCTAAACTCAGCAGCAGCTGCTTCTTGCGCCTCCACCACACTCCTCTGATCTACACTTTTCTTCAGGAATGTGCATGGTTACATCCATTTGAGATGGAGATATGGATGCTGCAGTAGCTGTCAGGTCACCTGCACTCCGACTACCTGGAAGATCAGGCATCTCCTCACCACTCACATCCTCACTGGGGCCAGAAGGCTCACCGTGAACATTCGTGTCTATGTATCTCAGGAGAGCTCCTTCCTGCTTCGATAGAAAAGCTTCCTTTGCTTTCTTTCTTTTTCTGAATGCTGCCCCAGTGGGGCGTTTTCTTCTTTCACTCATGACTGCTGTTCTGTGCCAGCTATAGTGGCTCTCAACACTCAATTGAAGGGGACAAATAAGCAGGCTGGTAGCAGGGCCTGAGTGAGGGAAGATATCAGCATCTTAAGGGCCTAACTGGCTCCTACTACTCCAGTTGACTGCCTGTTCTCCTTCAGTGGACTTCAGGGAAGCAGCAGGAAACAGGAAGCTCCCTGAGAAGCTGGTGTTAATCAGTCCAGACTTCTGGGGGTGCTAGAGAGGTACATAAGAGGCTCCTCTTCCTCTCTCTCCCTGCAGCTCCTGCTGCTTTCTGTTACTCCCTCTCACCTTTTCTCCTGCCTGCCATGTCTCTTGTGCCCTCCTTCCTCCAGCACAGCACTCCACCATCTCTGTGCATCTAGAGCAGCGAGAATACATATGCACCAGCAGCAGACAATTTTCTACACTCTGGGTCCTAGTGGCGTCCCCCCACAGTCTGGCACCTGAGGTAGCCGCCTCAGTTCGCCTCATATGAACAGGGCTGGCCTTACCATAACACAAGAGCCAGGGGTCAATGAAATTAACAGGAAGCAGGTTTAAAACAAACAAAAAAAAAAAGTACTTCACACAATGCAGTCAACTTGCGAAACTCATTGCCAGGGAATGTTGTGAAGACCAAAACTATAATGGTTCAAAAAGATTCAGATAAGTTCATCAATGACAATTAACCAAGATGACCAGGGATGCAACCCTATGTTCTGGGCGTCCTAACCCTCTAACTGCCAGAAGCTGGGAGCGGACAACAGGAGATGGAGCACTTGATAACTGTCCTGTTCATCCCCTCTTAAGCATCTGGCATTGGCCACTGTCAGAAGAAAGGATACTGGACTGGATGGATCACTGGTCTGACGCAGTATAGATGTTCTTATGTATGGGCCCAGCAAATTGTTAACAAGCCAGAAAACTTTAAAAATAAGAAAAAGAGATTGTATAAAATCACAATAATTGGCATGGGCGCTCTGGGGCAAGTGTAGTACCTAAGACTACTGTTTAAAAAAAAAAAAAAAAAAGTTAACTGAATGGCAAGTTGTCTCCCCCAAAATGTTTTCACAAAAAAACCTAAAAAAAAATTAGCCAAATTAGACAAAAAACCCCACTACTTTCTTCTATATATAAATATCAGAATAAAAATCTATAAAATTGGTATTTATTTTTAATTTTCATATAACCATTTACACCCTGAAAACACAGTATCTGATTTTTTTTTTTTTTAAATGTGAAGTTTCTCTCTCTGAAAGAACACAAGCAGTTTGGAAATGCAGCAAAGTTTAAGGCTACCTAACCAGAGCTAGCCATTTGAATACAGAGACAGAACATAAAAATGAATGTACAATAAGTTCAAAGAAGAAAAAAATGAACATGAGTTTTTACAAAAGAGTTGCTCAAAGAACACTTATTGGTCCAAAATTTTTTATACAAAATTTCTTAAAACATATTTGAAATGAGAACCACCTGCACAATTCCAGACACACAATTGCTGTTTAATAGATCGCTATCTGAACAATTTCTGTAAATAAATATATCTTACACAACACCCATACAAGAGTAACAGAAATATTATTGAATTGATACTTATTAGTGGACCTTAAAAGTTTGTACCAAAGTCACAGCTTAATAAGTACCTATGCTATTACTTAAAAACCCTCTACTAGAAAATTAGTTTTAATACTAAGGAAAACTCAGGATTCATTGTTTTGTGATATGTTTTGATTCTTAAACAGGTAAACCAATTGTTAAAATGAACAATTTTAATTAACTAGAAACCCGAGTGGATTAGATTCTATTTCTTTTGTATTAAGCTCTTTTTAAAAGGTTTGTTTTTGGAGGAGGAAGATTACTGATAAGGAACAAGTGATATGGAATTAACTTTACTCTTTGCATACAGCTGCTGTTATAACTAAATTCAACAACTTTAACTCTAAATATTTCATTTTATTCACTTACAGAGAGGAATGAAAGTCACTCATGGTTTTCAAATCCAAGACAAATAAATAATAATTAATATAATTCTTAAATTGGTTCATCCATGAGAGGTCACTTTATTCTGCTATCACTCAGCAAGCTATGGTCCACCACTATTGACCACCAGTTCTTTAAATATTACTTTTTGTAAAGTTCATGAGCATTGGATAGTGGAAGGCCATGTAAACAATGAAAAAAACTTAGGTTATTTTCTTTTTTGCCTCTAGTTCTTCCTTTAAATGGCAATTTCTCCTTTCTATTCATTCTGGGGCTATTTTCCACATCAATTCCTTCAAACTACCTATTACGCTGGTTACAGCCCTGTAGCACTTCTTTTAGAGAGAATGGTTAAACACTCCAATCCAGCTAGACTTGTGAATTATGGACACACCAACAGGATCAACCAATGATTTACACAATTAGCCATTAGTGCAGCTACTGCGTGGCATTATTTTGTCTTTAACTGTTAGTGCAACAGAAGCTAATGACTCCAAGCCTCCTATATCCCTGAGCAATATGCTACTATGTCATCTTACTGGGCTGGCTCAAAGTCAGTACTTTTTATTTCACAACTTCCACAGAAAGTAATTGCCTCTATTTCTTCAATGATTGTCATCAAAGAGTGACTACACTGAAGCTATGAAATCTTTCACATAGCAAAGTGTTTAGTTTATAATGGAAGACTTTGGTAGGAGTAGGGGGTTATGTAAGGATTACTGATACAATGACATTTACATAAAAAATTATGAATAAGTTACATTTCTGAAACAGAATGGGGAATCAGATTCCTCCTGATTTGCTCACAAATTTGTGGACATCCATGCAGCTCAGAACCCCAAAAGTGCAACCACAAAACAATACAGGTATAATACAGCAGCAACAAGTTTTGTCTTCCATCTTAATATTTAACTCGCCTTTTTTCACGTATGTAAGATACATATCCCTCCACCACTTCAGCATAAGATTCTGCTGCAGATCTTTGTCCCCATCACACAGGTGCTCCTGGAAACTGTTGCTGCTGCCTTTGTTCCAAAGCTTGTTGACTTAGCAGCTGCTGCTGTTTCTGCAGAAACTGTACCACCTCCGGACTTCTTAATAATGACTTAAAGAAAAGAGGATTTTTTAAATGGACACCAAAATATTTCGAATAGAAAAATATCCCATATTTGTGAACTATACATTATATCAGTTTGTTCCTTATATTTTATAAATGGGAGTTCAATAAAATTAACATATTACAAAACACACCAAAGTGGGAACCATTTTCATCATTACAATACCTCCAGAAAAGAAATGGAGTCAACGTTAATGTCACCTCCAGTTAACTGAATCAAGACTGAAAGATGTGCATGATATGCCACTTCATAATACTATATACTTTTGTTTATTAAACAAAAATAAGTTACTGTCATATAGACAATGTAAACATCTGCTTTAAAAATGTTTAACTGCAGTTTAATTTTGAACTATACTTCTTGTATTCCATATAGCAAACTACCTCAAATCCCTGTTCTTTTGGAGAAATACAGAGCCTGTCATTGAAGTAAGATTTCTATAAATATAAAATATTTATAGTTTATCATACTAACTGGTCACCAGATAGAAACAAACAACCCTTATGAAAGCATGAAAGGAAGCACTGTCTTGTGAAGAGCACTGTCTTGTCAGGAGTTTTGGGTTCTATTCCTGGCACTGTCACTAACTTGTTGTGGGCCTTGGCCAAATCACAACTTTTGTGCCTCAATTCTCCCCCGTTCCTCCCCCCAGCCCTTCCACCCCCACCCCCCCATCTGCAGCATGGGAATAATTATCTAACTCCCAAAATGAGTACTTATAAAATCCTTTGAGATCCTTGATTAAAAGGTGCCATAAAAGTGCTAGACATTATCTACTATATTAGGAAATGTTTTCATCCTTGTGCTACTTGAAGTTTTCCAAAAAGCCAGTTCTTTTTCCAAGATGTATACAATAACATTCCATTTAAAAATACCCTTATGGTTTATGAGATCATGTCCTCCTCCTTCCCATATACTTTGCCCCAGGTGGGATATATTAAAAACAAAGGGATCTTTCCTAAAGGAATATTGCTGAATGAGAGAAAGGGTCAAAGCACTGAAGAAGACAGCAACACAGTTCAAGGAGAACCTGTGCCTCACATTTCCTGTTTGGTGGGCAGAACCAGGAATGATAGAGCTTCAATCTTGTGCAAAGGCCCTTAAAAGAAATATTTACTTTTCCAAGAGCATCTGGTTGCTATATTTCTAGGGAAATCATAAAAGTGTTTTCAGTTTCCATTACTAAAAGGACCTTGTCAAGTGCAGCTAAGAGCTGTGAAGGTACTGTCAATCAGGCAAGGGAGCCAAAGAGGTGCAATCCAATAGCAAGACTCAGAGAGCAGCAGCCAATGGGCGGCTTTGTGACTCCAATTTTTCTGCAGGCTACTTTAAAGAATTAAAGAAAATAATTTCCTTTTCAGGGACACTATTCCAAAGTTTATTTCTAGACTTTAAATAGGTGCTTCTTCTATATATTGTATATCACTGGGAGAAGGGAGACAAAATAAGGTTATTTTGCTGTAAACCTAGCATTCTGAGGTCTTTTCTTTAAAGACTTTCATCTTCAGACTATCTGGGATCTGGAGTCCTCCATGCACATAGGTGCCTAAAGAGACCTGCAGCACAATAATCAGGGCTGGTTATGCTGCTTGTCATAGTTAATGGAGGCAGTAGATGAACAGTTTGATTCTCTTTTGATGGAAAGAGAATAAAACACAATGGCAAAGGTACAGTAGAAACATTCACAATAAAAGCCAAAACCACCAAATATATTAAATTCTCTCCTCCATGTAAGTGACATTCAGGGAAGGCAGCTAACGGAGCCACAAAAATGATCTTGTGTTTACTAGAATGTAAAACAGATGTTAGTGTATACCAGTGGTTCTCAACCTATTTACCATAGTGGGCCACATCCAATACTACCTGTATGGCCCTGAGGGGTACCACAGCTCAGTGCTGATTGGGCCACAGGTTGAGAACCACTGGTGTATACAATATCATAGTAAGTGAGGTAGTGAGTCTAAGACTTCTACTGACTTTATTTCTTACACTGCCATGACTGAAACTTGCACTGGAACTATTTAAAGTGCACATCTTACTGTTTTACTGGAGACTTTACAGCAAAGTTGGGTTAACACAAGGATCGGCAACCTTTGGCACACGGCTCTCCAGCGTAAGCCTCCTGGCGGGCCAGGCTGGTTTGTTTACCTGCCGCATCCGCAGGTTCGGCCGATCACTGCTCCCACTGGTCGCGGTTCACCGCTCCAGGCCAATGGGGACTGCGGGAAGCAGCGCGGGCTGAGGGATGTGCTGGCTGTGGCTTCTCGCAGCCCCCATTGGCCTGGAGCGGCAAACCGTGGCCAGTGGGAGCCGCGATCGGCCGAACCTGCGGACGCGGCAGGTAAACAAACTGGCCCGCCCCACCAGGGTGCTTACCCTGGCGGGCCACGTGCCAAAGGTTGCCGATCCCTGGATTAACAGATTAAACCAACCTAGATACATTATGAATGCTATCTGCCCAAAGAACTACACACTTTTCTAATAGTACAGAAATGTCCACGTTCAGCTAATGTAACTGTGATTCACATACTCATGATTATTCATATTTGTGTTCTGTGCAGATGTCGAAATGTGCATCTTCCATGTCTACTGTGATATTTCAGTTTTAAAAACTTGTTTATATAACTATGTAATGCACAACAGCAATCTACTGACTTCCAAGTTTCCAGAGAGGCACCAATAACTTTCAATACATATTCTATCTGTATCTTTAAGAAAAGGAGTGAGCAATTTACAAAAATTGGTTCTCAAAAAGCAATCCTACTATCTTCAGCCTTGTGAAGCCATGGTACTTACCAGCCTTTTCTGATTCAATACTTGTTCTAAAAGAGTAGGTCTTGCTGGGCGATCTCCAATAGACCCTGTTCTTTGTTTTGTAACAGAAACTGAACCTTCAACGCAATCCTGGACATAAGAGACAAAATACAAGAGGAAAGATAGATGTTAATATGTTCTCATTACAATGCATTTTCATTTCTACAGGGGAGATCTCAGAATAAAAGGGCCTGCTTCCCCTTCCTAACCTGTGGAAGGAAATAAAGTGTGCCAGAGAGGAAAAGAATCCACCCAATGTTCTGTTTTTCCCCTTTCCCTCCATAAAGCTTCCAGTCTCCACTTGCCACAGTGAGCATGACTCCAGAAACTGGTGAATTAGACTTCTAAATTAGACTCCTAACCAAGTTACCATAGCTAGTTAATAAAACTTTAATCTATTTGATTAAAAATTAAGTAATTTGAAACAGCCCAATTATTCCTTCCACACTTTTTAACCATATTTCCCTGAAAGTAATGTGTGTCTAAAGCAGGGGTTCTCAAACTGAGGGTCGGGACCCCTTAGGGGGTTGTGAGGTTATTACATGGGGGGTCGCGAGCTGTCAGCCTCCACCCCTGACCCCGCTTTGCCTCCAGCATTTATAATGGTTTTAAATATATAAAGAAGTGTTTTTAATTTATTTTGGGGTCACACTCAGAGGCTTGCAATGTAAAAGGGGTCACCAATACAAAAGTTTGAGAACCACTGGTCTAGAGAGTCTCAGGTTGGAGGCTAGGTCAGGCTATAGTCACAGCTGGGGCAGTTCTAGCCACAGTTCAGCACAGATAAGGTGCTGCAGATTCCTCACTGGTTTCTCTCTGGCCTGAGGCATCCCAACCTGTAAAGTTTGTTAACTATTCTTCCAACTGAAAGGGGTCGGACAAATATCTATCCTAGCATCTACTACTTCAACACTGTTGAAGAAATGTCAAAAGGCTCAGCCTTTATTAGATGCATATATGTGTATTCTACCTTGAGTCTCACTAATCTTCAAAGGCTAGTGTAGACACTACATAGTTGTGGAAAAAGAAAATCCTGCCCCTTCCAAAACCACCCCCTCAGTACAAACCGCCTCCATCATCTTTTTTTTAAACTCAGTAGAAGAAATGCAGTTTCCCCCTTCCCAAAACTATTCCAAAATACAATGCATGCACAAAATGCAAAATCTGTTTGAAAACTCTTTATAACAATTATGGCAACTATCAGAGACTACATTGTATAGAGTTTGGAATTGAGAGCCAAAACTGCTGAAAACAAGCTGAGTGCTAATACCAGTTCTGCCACTGATTTACTGTGTGATCCCTGTGCCTCTGTTTTTCAATCTGTAGATAACATTTATGAAGATGTGTGGCTCAATATAGCTCTGAATGTTTAAAGTATTACACAAGGCCTAAGCATACTTAGAGGATTTCATAAGTGTAACAAACAGGGAGGAGGGAGCAGGAAAGCAGATGGCCAAAAAGTTATTCTCTGCAAGGCTTTCCCTGGCACAGTGGCCTCGGTCTATAAGATGGGTGTGGATTTCTCTCTGGGACAGGAGAATTACCACTACTATTATTGGAACTACCTGGGACACCACAAACATGCTTAGATAATTGGAACACAACAGGACAGGAAATCATACCAGGCTCGTTAGAAAGAACTCACTTTGTGCGGGGAGTAGGAGCAGACAAAAAGCTAGGCAGGCAATGTAAATAACTAATGCCATTCTGCACTGAATCTGTACCTTAGTGGAGAAGAGAACTAGGAGAGTTATGTGGCTCTCCAGTGAGGGAGGTGCGCTCCCACACACCTGTAACAGCAGCAAATAGTGGCAGGCTAAGTCTCCCCCCTCCAATGGGGGACCCCACCGAAAAGCTGATTACCTGCAACTCACCCTTAACTCAAGTGATTCTGGGTGTTGTTAACTGGGCGCTGCACAGCGGCCTACCCTTGCACACAGCGGTGGGGGGCTGATGTGTAGCCTCAGCTACTCCCCCACCCCCAAATCTCTGCCCTAATACCTCGGCACTGTGACACAGCGGTGAGGCGGGCACTAACCCCTCACCTCGGCCCGCGCGCTGCCCCCCGGGGTGGCAGCCCCGCCCTGCGCTGGGGGCGCCCCGGCCCCGCCCAGGGCCTGGTCGCTCTTCTTGCGCTTGTACTTGTCCTTGTACATCTTGTTGCGGTGGCGCTTGCACATCCAGGGCTTGCGCTGCTTGGCCACCTGCGTGGTGGTCTCGCTGCAGCCCTGGTACGTGCAGCTCTTGCAGCCCTCGCCTCCCGCGGGGCCCTCCCCGCCGGAGGCCGCCGCCGCCTCCTCGTCCTCCAGCTCCTCGGGGCTGGCCGTGCTCTCGCCGCCCGCCGGCTCGCCCTCCTCGGCCGCGTCCCCTTCGCCCTCGCTGGGGCACACCTCGCACAGGAACACGAGGCCTCCGGAGGTCTCCGGGGCCTGCGCGGGGCCCCGGTGCCGCCCGATGCCCCCCGCCGCCTCCTCGTCGCCGCTGCACGGCTGCATCACCAGCAGCGTCAGCTGGGGGGGCGAGGAGGAAGCGGCGGCGGGGCCGGCCCGCAGGGCCCTGCTGCTGCTGCCGCCCGGACCCTCCGTCCCGCTCTCCCACCCGCCGGGCGGCTCTGGACCGGTAGGCACAGAGCAGTGACTGCGCAGGCGCAGCGGCCCTGACAGGCGACCAACTGTACACGCTGCGTGCCAGCACTGAGACCTGAGGCCGGGAGCTGTGACGCGCGACTACGGCCGCTTTACGGCGGCAACTGTTGAGGGGAGTGTGGAGTGAGCACGCATGCGTATTATGGAAAACTAACTTGGCACGTAGGGAAGTGCCACACCAGGGTGACAGAAAATCAAGTGCGCGAGCGCGGCGATCGCTCTGTCGCGACCCCAAGACGCAATTTACTGCACGTGCGCAAACCCGATATGGGCGAAGAGTCGAGGAATGAGATGAGGAGCGCGCGCCTGAGGCGTCGTTAAGCCTCCGAATAGCTGGGGTGGTCACGTGACAATGCAGCCTCCGCCTCCTCCGCGGAGGGTCATATGTGTGCCGCGTGCTGGGCGGGGCAGCCCCACTCCTACCTGTGTTTTCCTGCAGGCGAGCTGTGTCACCGGGCACCAGGCCCTGCTGGGGCTATCCGTGCATTAGGGTACAGCCCAGACTGATGCGTATGTCACAACGCGCTGCAACCACGAGTGCCTTGCAATGCCCTGCTAAAGGAGCTCCCAGCATGCAGGTCACACCCTGAGTGTCTGTGTGCAACTGCCACCTGCCAGCCACACTTAGCTTACCCTCTGGCGCTCTCCAGCCTGGGTCATATTGTGGGGTGACCCCCAGTGCAGCCGCTCCTCCCCCAGGCCTGGATTTCCCCCATTGTGTACTGCCCAGCCCTCTCCTGGACAATGCAAGCTTATATGAAGGCCCTCGTTTTATTAACAGAAAGGATATGAACAGATTGTGTTGTTCCAAGTGGAGTTTCCCAAACACTTAAATTCAAACACATTGAATGAGATCAAACAAAAAAAGTGTATTAACTACAGAAAGGGAGATTTTAAGTGAATACAAGTAATGAGGCATAAAAGTCAGAAATGCTTACAATAAAAATAAAGATAAAATGCAACTAGTGCCTAACTTAAACTATGTTAAACTCAAGGTAAAGTTTTTGCACCACATGCTCTCCTCAGACTTCCTGGCCAAACTTTTTAGGCCAGGACCCCTCCTTCTGTTTTAATGGCTGCTTCCTTTGTTCCTTCTGATGCAGTGAATCAATAGAGAGAGCAAGGAAGAGGGGTGCCTTGGGTGTTTTCCCTTTCTTTTTATAGTCCTGTCTTCCCTTTGAGAAGCATTTCCAGCTGGGAGTATGGTGACAAGCAGACTCTGTGAACAGGAACCCCATTCTGTTTCTTCACTAAGATGTAGATCTGCGCCACAATGCCATCCAGAACCGCCTGGTGAAAGCCATCGCGCCACGCCTGGGGCAGGTGGCTGTAAACTGCGCCATCCCCGGTACTGACAGCCAGCTGCTACCTGACGTCGTTGTCACCGACGAGGCCCAGGAAAAGATCATCATTATTGACGTCACGGTCTCCCTTGAGAACAGGACCCCGGCCTTTCACAAAGCCCAAGCTCGTAAGCTGGAAAAGTACGCTCCCCTGGCCGACACCCTGAGAGTGAAGGGCTACGAGGTGCAGATGGACGCCCTGATCGTCGGAGCCCTGGGTTCCTGGGACCCCTGCAACAAGTGTGTGCTGTGGACCTGTGGGATTGGTCAATGCTATGCACGGTTCATGCGGCGACTTATGGTCTCAGACACCATCCGATGGTCCAGGGACATCTACATCGAACACATTGCCGGCCACCGACAGTACCAGGAGGCGTGAGCCTGAGCGACATCGTGCATCGACTACGAGAAAGGGACCGAGATACTTTTTCCGTTGGACCATATGAACTGGAACAATAAACTCACTGAACCTTAAATCTCACCAAATGAAGGTCAATCCATCCTCATCATCGTATTCACTTATTATACACTTGAACATAGCCATTATATGAACAACATACCCTCGTATCTCAATGTCTGTACTTTGACCCGTTAAGCTTTTACCTCCAATCGGGGATATTGCAGATTATGTATTCTTTACGCCATCCAATCTTAAACCGAATTTGGCACCCTTTGATAATCTGTACGTTATTCCCTGATAACCAGACACTTCTATGCTTAAACTCTGTACTGTTCACTTTTTTTTTAAACATCATCTTAATAAAATTTTTATTTCTGCCCATGCCCTTTTTCTTGCCAATGAATAGCCACTCACTCTCACACTCATGCCCGTCACCCCAATAGGGGTATGGGCTGCCAACCACAGATCTCCAGAGTCCTTTATCCTGGGCCATTTGCTCTAGCTGGTTCCAGGTATAGCCCATTTTTATGCTATCAGCCTGAAGGTCGCGTCGCCAGGTGTTTCTTGGACGGCCTCTTTTCTGCTTGCCTTGGGGGTTCCACCGCAGTGCCTGTCTAGTGATGTTGGTTGGCTGCTTGCGTAGTGTGTGTCCTATCCAGCCCCACCTTCTCCTTCTAATTTCTTCCTCTGCTGGAAGTTGACGGGTCCTCTCCAAGAGGTAGATGTTGCTGATGGTGTCTGGCCAGTGGATCTGGAGAATCCTTCTAAGGCAACTATTTATGAAGGTCTGGATCTTCCTGATGGTTGTTTTAGTTATCCTCCAGGTTTCAGCTCCATACAATAAGACTGATTTCACGTTGGAGTTGAACAGTCTAATCTTTGTTGCCAAAGACAGCTCTCTGGAGCTCCAGATGTTCTTGAGCTGTAAGAAAGCTGCTCTTGCCTTACCGATCCTTGCTTTGATGTCTGCGTCCGTGCCACCCTGTTGGTCGATGATGCTGCCTAGGTAGGTGAAGGACTGCACTTCTTCCAGAGGGCTTCCATTCAGTGTGACTGGTTCATTACTGATGGAGTTAATCTTGAGGATCTTGGTCTTGTCCTTGTGGATGTTGAGGCCAACCTGTGATGACGTGGCTGCCACTACGTTGGTCTTCTCTTGCATCTGCTGTTTGCTATGCGAAAGGAGTGCAAGGTCATCGGCAAAGTCCAGGTCATCAAGCTGGGTCCACAACGTCCACTGGATTCTGTTCCTACGCTCATAAGTGGATGTCTTCATAATCCAATCAATGACAAGGAGAAAGAGAAATGGTGACAACAAGCATCCTTGTCTGACTCCGGTTCGCACCTGGAAGCTGTTTGTAAGCTGCACTCCATGGATCACTCTACAGTGTATGCCGTCATATAAATTCTTAATCAGGTTGACCACCTTTACTGGGATGCCATAGTGCCGAAGGAGCTTCCAGAGAGTCTCTCGATCCACGCTATCGAATGCTTTCTCATAGTCAACAAAGTTGATGTACAACGAGGAGTTCCACTCCATAGACTGCTCGACTATGATGCGGAGCGTTGCTATCTGGTCCGTGCATGATCTATTTTGCCGGAAACCTGCCTGCTCATCTCGTAGCTGTGGATCGACGGCATCCTTCATTCTCTCTAAGAGGACTCGGTTGAAGACCTTCCCTGGCACCGACAGAAGTGTGATTCCTCTGTAGTTGGCACAATTGCTGAGGTCTCCTTTCTTGGGGATTTTAGTAAGATATCCCTCTTTCCAGTCTGCCGGAATCATTTCTTCTTCCCATATCTTCTCAAGGAGGGGGTACAGCATTTCCACTGAAGCATCCAGATCTACTTTCAGGGCCTCTGCTGGAATATCGTCAGGTCCAGCCGCTTTCCTGTTCTTCATCATAGTGATGGCTTTTCTGATCTCATCTCTGGTTGGTCTGTCACAATTGATTGGAAGGTCTTCGTTGGCTGGGTCAATGTCTGGTGGATTTAGTGGTGCTGGTCTGTTCAGGAGTTCCTGAAAGTGCTTCGCCCATCTATTCATCTGTTGTTCTATTTCTGTTATAGACTTTCCCTGCTTGTCTTTGACGGGACGCTCTGGCTTGCGGAACTTTCCAGACAGTCACTTGGTAATGTCATACAGCTGTTTCATATTACCGTTGTATGCTGCCTGCTCCGCTTCTGCTGCCAGTCCATCCACATAATCTCTCTTATTCTTCCTAATATTCCTCTTCACTACTCTATGGGCTTCAGCATACTCTTTTTGCGCTTTAGCCTTTGCTGCTCTAGTCCTGCTGTTATTAACTACTGCCTTCTTCTTCTTTCTATCTTCTATCTTAGTCAAGGTCTCTGCTGTGATCCACTCTTTCTGCTGGTATTTCTTGATTCCAAGCACCTCCTGGCATGCTGACCTAAGTGTCTCTCTCACTTTCTGCCATCTGTTGGGTACACTGTCTTCCTCTTCCTCAGACCGATCCTGTAGTACTGAAAACTTATTCTTCAGCGTCAGTCCAAAATCTTCCTTGATCTTATGATCCTTCAAAAGGCTAACGTTGTACTTCACTCTTCTATCTGACACGTCTATCCAGTTCTTCTTCAGCTTCAGCTTCAATCTGGCCACCACTAAGTGATGGTTGGACGCTACGTCTGCTCCTCTTCTAACTCTAATGTCCTGCAAAGATCTTCTGAACTTCTTGTTAATACAGACATGATCGATCTGGTTTTCTATCGTGCCTGCTGGCGATACCCAGGTACTCTTGTGGATCCGCTTGTGAGGAAAGATGCTACCTCCTATGACCAAGTTGTTAAGTGCACACAGATCCACAAATCTCTCTCCATTCTCACTCATCTCTCCCAGAGCGTGGGTCCCCATGCCTTGTTCATATCCCGTGTTGTCAGGTCCAATTGTGGCATTAAAGTCTCCCATGAGGATGGTGATGTCTTTGTCTGGGAGAATCTCTAATATTTTCTGAAGTCTGTTATAAAAATAATCTTTGTCCCCCTCTTCACTGTCATTGGTTGGAGCATAGCACTGTACAACATTCATCTTAATCCTCTTCATTTTAGTTCTGAAGGATGCTGTGATGATCCTGGAACCATGTGCCTCCCAACCAATCAGTGCTCTCTGTGCCTGCTTGGACAACATGAAGCCTACTCCCTGTGTGTGAGGTGCGTCGCTCTCTTCATGTCCAGAATACAGCAACAGCTCTCCTGTCAACAGTCGTCTCTGTCCAGCTTGCTTCCATCTTGTCTCGCTAATGCCTAGTAGGGTCAGGTTGTTGCTCCTCATCTCTGCTGTGACCTGCACCATCTTTCTTGACTCGTACATGGTCCTCACGTTCCATGTAACGATGGTAATCCTCGTGGTTGCAAGAAGGGTAATCGGCTTAGTGGCTTCCTCACGACTTTCACCACCCAGCGTCATGCGTCTTCGAGTTGAAGACCCTTCTTTTTCCAGGCTAAAAGTCTCTGTTATCTCTATTGTTGGCGTTTCTGTAGCAGGTTGATTTTTTACGGGGTGGAGTTGCTAGCCCCACGCCCAACCCTCCTCCTTTATCCTGACTTGGGACAGGCAGATGGCCCCAAAGGACCTCTCTGGTGGAGTTAATGAATAGCCAGTTAGCAGGTAATGACCCATTGACCTTATTTACACCTGGCTGAGGTGTCAGCTTTCCCTCTGTCTTTGAGGAACTGGTTTGGTCACTCCCCAGACTTGAAACATATTTTAGTAACACCATACAGTGGAATGTTATAGTTTTACATACATTGTTGCCACACATATTTTACCAGAACAATAACGACCAGCAAATTATGAATTTTCAAATGATCCCCCATAAGGCTTACTTTGTACGAAGATTATTACAATAGTATGCAAGGGGTGAATACAGGAGTACAGTCTGTCATAGGCCCTTAATACTATGTGTTTGTTACAGTGTTTCAAAGAGTGACAAGGAGGAGGAGGTGAAAATGACCCAGAAATGTGCTATGTAACTTATGGACAGCCCCTCTAGGCACCTGCTCCCCCATGCAGCGCAGCCACAAAACCAAGCCACATGGTGATCCAGGCAACTGTTCTGCTCATCTGCCCCACGAATCAGCCTGTTTGCAGCCCTACACCTAGGGCTGGGCAGAGTCTTGCCTGCTCCTTGACCCATTGTTACCCAGCTCTATCTAGGATGCAGTAGAAAGAACTAAAACATGTATCAACAGTACCGACACCTTCCACTGTTGAAAAGCACTGATGTGCCTTCTTGCATGCACGCAACAAGAGCCTCGCCACATTTGTAGCCCTCTGAAACAACTAGCTCTCAACTGGTACCTAGAGTGAATCTTGCTGATGTATATATAAATTGTATAGAAGTTGCCTATTATTTTTTTCCCTTCTCTGATCTCTGTCTTTAGAGTGTGAGCTCTGTGGTGCAGGGATTATTCATAGGTGTTTGGAAGGTACTACTGCAAATAAAGGGCATTACTGCAAATATGTAGCAATAGTAATGAGAGTAATAATACACACCTCAAACAGTTAGGGCCATACTCAGAACCCTTTTACTCAATGGTGAACTTGAGTAGTTCTGCTGAAGTCAAATAATTTTGTTTTGATTTAAATGCAACTAGAAAGAATGCCTGTCTGAAACTCTAGATGTCCTTCCGATTAATTAAAAACACA